TGTTTAGTTAAATGTCAGTAAAACTTTCACAAAATCAAATGAATCTGGAAATATACATACAAATAAAATAAATGGCTCTTTTTGACCTCTTAACATTTAATTAACAATAAAGAGAGTGTCTAACCTAACAAGTAGAACTAAATAAATACAAGGTAAATTACAAAATAAGAAAAGACCTCCATACACATTACGTTCAGTACATGCAATATTCCAGCCTTACAAACCAACACCAGAATGATTTTATTTTTTCTTATTTAAGAAATTTAAGGACCTGTTTAATCCAGCTTGTGGAGCTGCAGGGTTACAGTTTAACAGAAGCCTCCTGACATGAAGTAGACCTTGAAAAGGCAGGTAAATAAACTTAAATTACACAAAGAAAGATTTCAGAGCAGAACCTGCACATGGAGGGACAACTTCAGAACATGTGAATAATTTACCTGTTGACATCCTCCACACAGAGGTCATCCTAAAATCTGATGCTGTCATTAAAAATCTGTTAACCCTTTATAAAACTTACCTACAGACATTGTTCTAAATCTGTTTCCCATACATTTTTTATGACACTGGAAGGATTTGAAAAGTAAAAAAATATTTAAATATATGGAAGAAGCTCAATGAGGGGAATAAAAATGATAAAGACCTGTTGAAAAGAATCAAAAGTAGACTGAACATTTAAATCTCTCCAGGGTTTTATACCTAACACATATAGAAAAGTTTTATCCAGTAAAGATGGATGAAATACATGATTCCCTGCAAGCGGAGCCTCAATACAGTGTGTTTGCAGCCAAAATGGAGCCTAATTGAAGACAGATTTTAAGGCAGGCAGCCTCCATCATGTTTCTAAAGCAACTTGAAAGAAGAGTGAAGAGGTGAGTAACATACAGGTTCTAATGGTGCTGGATGAGCAGACCATACATGATGTGATGCTTTGTTCTGCTGACTGAACCCAGGATTTCAGATTAATAGTTGCTCAGTGGTACAGAGGTTCTCATTCCACATCTGTAAGAGCCGACGGAGCAGAATTAGAGCATTAACCTTGTGGAAATACAGCTAAAGGCAGAAAAACTGATTGAAAAAAAAAGATTTTTATGCCAGAAAAATCAGGATTAACTTGTAAAACAATGGATGGAGGTTTCATTACAAAGTCAAAGAAGAGAGCATTTAATGGACATCTCTGTCTTGTGGAGTGGTGTAATATAAAAAGCAGCCAACAGAAGGGACCCACACAGAGGAGTTTGACCAAACGCCGGAGGGTCCCGATTGACTCCCAGAAAAGGACCATCACATCCAAATACCGGCTCATCACCTGCCTCTGTACAACAAGGAGCTCCTGTCAGGCATCATACAATGACTGGAACATGGGTCAGTACTGGAAGAGAAGGGAACTGGTACCAACATCAGGGGACCAAACACACAACCCTGTGACCCGCCTGGATTGACTGATTGACTGATGGAGTCTCCACTCCTGTACCTAGACCTGAAACCCCTCAGCCTAGACCTGAACCCCCCTCAGTCAGATCATTGTAACCAGGGGCCATGAACTCAGTCAGCTCCTCTACATGGATGACATCAAGCTGTTCGCCCAAAATCAGTGACTCTCTGATCCACCTCACCAAGTAGTACAAGAACATAGGAAAGTCCTTCAGACTGGATAAATGCAGACCAGATCACAGCTGAAGGGTTGAGGACAACAATATCGATGTTACGTCCAGAGAGCAAGCCTGGTCCCGAAGAGGTCCTCAAGAACAAAACCCAAGTCATCCAGACGTGTTTAGCTGCATTTTGCTAACAGCCTCAACAGAAAAAGAACACTAAACCCTCAACAGCAGGGATATTTAAGTGATTCAGTCAGGGGCCACAGCTCATGGGTCAGATTTGTAAAAGATTGCATGGAAACCATAATAAAAGTAAAAGTATGGCCAAAAGCTGGAAATGACGTACGCAAAAAAAAAAATCATATTTATAAAACTGTGGCGTACGCATGTTTCTGCACATCTTTCCTTTTTAGATGTCAGGGTTTGCGCTCAAGTTCCCGCCTCAGGTTCTACCCTCTACACGCCCACATTCAACCATAAACAGTCAATGTAAA